GTGATCAGAAGAAACTGTATGCAATGTTATAAAAAGCTTCTTTCTTGCCAGCTTCATAGACAATTTATTATAGACCACTCAGATGCACAAATATAGGTCCCTGATGGTGTTTTTTATTTTAATTTTGTAACCCAAAAGCCCACTTTTTGTGACATCATAGTTCATTATTTGGTGCATTTTTTTATAGTGATTATTACAGTAGCATTGTTTTAATCTTTCTCAGAGTGGTTGATATTTAACAAGGTTGCTGGTAAGCTACGGGGACGATATCTAATGGCATCCTGCATGGGAAACTGTGCCAAAACTCTGTAAGTTTTTCATCCTTGAGCCGGAAACTCACTGTGGCATATGGCCGTCGGCCAACGCGATTGTATAAGGAATACAACACAACGACGCGCACGCAACGGTTCGTTTTTAATGACGATCCATTCTGACGGCCACCAGCAATCAACAGATGGCATCGCGTTGTTTAGCCTTCACGGGAAGCAGAGTTGGATTTGTTCTACGACGGTTGTATGACACAGTGAGCGGCCGCCTTAAGTAATATTAATATATTATTGTTGGATTGTTGTTACCTCTGCCAAAAGAGGTTATCAGTTCATTACTCTGTCTGTCTGTTGGCAAGATTATGCAAAAAGCTAAGGAATGGATCACAATTTAAGAAAGAGATGATTATATTTTGGGTAGAAAAGGTTAAAGAACAAGGACAAGGTCATGGAAGCTCAATTTTTTTTCCCTTGAGCATAAAAGAAATGATGGAATGATAACCAGCCAGCGTATTTGTTTAGTATTCAGGCACAGGGCGGAGGTATGCACTCTATGAGGTGACTGCTTCTAGTATGTTTTGGTCATAAAAATTAGTATTAATATAGTCAATGGGTGTGTGAAATTTGTATGAGTCCAACTTGAGCGGGTGAGTACAAGCAGGGACAGATTTAAGCCCGGCCTCAGCCCCTTCCCCTCTGTTGGAAAATAAAGAGAAAAAAGAGAGAAAAGAAAAAAAATTGATCGCACAAACCAAAGGTTATTTTTGGGCGTCTAGAAAACAAAAATTTCGTACCCCCTAGGGTGTTGTTGTCTCAATCGGCCTATGGGAAAAACCATGCGCCCGGGTCCCCCCCCCCCCCCCCCCTCCCCTTTTGGACATCTCTGGATCCCCCTGACAAGGGTGTGGAGATTTCATAATGACATGTTTGTTTTATATATAGAGCAAGTGAAATCGGAGGTTCTGAAGCTGTTGTGGTAACAATTAAATGGGAAGATGTCAACCAACCAGAAGTTATCTATGATCAACCGTTCTCCTTCTCAAGTCTTGAGAAATTTGTGCTGGAATCATCTGAGAAAATATTGGTGAGACAGAAACTTTTGAATTAGCATTTAATATGACACCTGAATGTTAGTATATAAGGTTTTTGTTGACTGTGATTGTTTTGTTTATTCCAGAGCCATGGTCTGGCAGTGCTGAAAACCTCAAATCCCCTGCTATGTTGTTGTTTTATAATATACATATATCAACCTGGTTAAAACAAACAGTATTTTGTGAATACATTCTCTACAAAATAAAAATCGGCTGTATTAGCTCATTTCTTTAGATAAATTCTTTTTCTGGTCTATCACCCCCACCTCCCAGCCAATTACATGCTAATCTGGCAAGTATTAAACTATAAAATACATCACTGCTGATTTGTCTAATTGATTACAGGACTTTTCCAGCAACATAAAATAAAAACTTGAGTGGGATAATATAGATAAATGACTTTGACACAAGTGCTGTGTAATATTGTGATAATAGTTCAATGCAATTTCATTGTCAACAGTACATTTGTTATTAGGTAGTACTCCACTACACAGTATTAATAAGACAACAATATTATACAAATATTGACTGCTCATGAGAGGAATGTAGAGAGGAATGGTGAAATGTATTGCCCCGAGGTGTATTAATGTGTATTCTAAATTGGACCATTTGCAACCTTACACCAGCAAAGCATAAAAGATTGTAAATAATACATTTCTTCTCTTCAATAGCCTGAGCTAACAGTGGTAAACCTGCCATATTACTTCAAAAAGAAATCTGTCTTTATGATTTTGTTTCATGGATTTGATCAGTATTCCGATTTGGCTGAAGAATCGCTAGCAGACATTTCTCATGATAAAACGTTTCCAGAAGTCCAGTTTTGTTGGCTGGATGTGTAAGTTGCTGCTTTTTGTTTTATGATAGAAAATATTAAATTTATTAAATTGAGTTTACATGACAAATGTAATATTGTAAGTGCCTTATACATTTGAGTGATAATTAAAGAAAACTGCTTTTGTTATTCTCATTGGTTTGTGAATACATATTTTGATGAACTTAAAATACAAGAAGGGCTTGGTGATTGTTTTCTT